AATTTTTAGTTAAAATAATTTAAAGCAGATTGACGAGTACGCCGTCTCACTCGAATCTGGTGCAACATCCACACGAATTCTGCATTTCACGGTGGTAAGCCACATGCAGGAAAGGTCACATTTAGTATACTTGTCCCCGTTTCGTTTAAGAGCCTTATTGGAACCTGAGTCATTGTTTGAGTTTGAAAGTGCAACGGCTTAGTATAGCCAGTTGTACAAATGAAAATTTACATGAAGATGGAGCACAGGGAAAAACAAACAATATCCCTAGTTAAACGCTGAAGCATCAATGATGCAGCGGCGCCAACCAAGCTGAATAACAACATACGTCTTTTCCTGTCATCTCGCTTTTTTCCAATTTTCTTCTTTCGAGTCGTTTTGCTGCATTGCAACTGCATTACATGCTTCTTGGATTAGATGAAACCGTGCACCGTCATCGCTAAATCTTCATAGTCTGCTCTGCTTATGCAGCATGTGTGTTTCTGTATCTATTATTTTAGTTTTAATTCATTTTATTCCATATAGGTGTCGCTACAATTGCAGTTGAGGCGATAACCCCTTTACGGGTATTCTATTGTGACAGAATACCTTTCTTATGCAGAGAGATACCTTTTAACTTCTCAATGGAACTCCATATTGTCCTAACGTCTTGTATATTAATTAACCGTTTTATGCTTTCACCCAGATTCTTTTGGCTGGAAATCACAGCTGTCATCAAATTTGTGCGAGGAGATAGCCAGTAAGTTATAATCGATTCTGTTCATCTTCCGGTCTACGTTTCAGAATTGCTCTCGAGAATGAAAGCTTCTCAGCAGCTGTTTCCTCTTGACTCGATGAGCTATTTCTTTTTTTACTCTTGTAAGGTAGTGGAATTGGAGCATATTCGCACATTTCTTAGTTAATGAGTCTGGACCAGTCGGCTTTCACAGATAATGGTGTGTGGCACCTGTAGTTAACATATATTTCGGTTTCGGTAGTATTAAAACGTTTGATTGTGACCGTATGCCGTTTACCGACTGCCGTATAAGCGTGGCATTACAACTTATTTATGACTTGTTTCCAACTGTCTACTCTGCCATGGTTACATCAGACAGAATCGATTTAATCGTTATTCTTCCGATGAAACGTCCCTGCTTCTAGTTTGGAAATGGCTAATAATCTTAAAATAAACTCCCTTTCGTCTGAAACTTTGTTCTGCAGCAAACCAAATACGGTTGTGTAATATTTAAAGGAAGTGCTAAACCTGAGAAAGATGGCTTTACGTCGGTGTTAATTCCTAACTTAAACCTCTGTGCTTTTCAGTCGTAGGTGGGTTGATTGTTGAAAATAATTTGTTTTGAAAATGATGAAAGGGATTAGCATAAGAGGTAAGCATGGTCGGGAAAGAAAGTGGATTTGTTTATGGATTCACTGTAGAATGTGTAAAGCTAATTATTTTTGAATTTTGTTGTACAGTGTTTTTACCAAGCCGCGGACTCCGGTATACCGCGGGTTTAGCCATGTAATTTGAAACATCTGTTGAAATAATTCAAATAATTTTTATGGTGAAATTTTAATTCTTGGCTGACTGATATGGAAGGGAGACACCCGCGCTGCTCTACATGTTGTCTCAAAGGCATATTAATCACTCAATGGAATGGAGAGGCATTTTAGCGGGATGCACCTAAAATATTGAATTATTTTATAAGTTCTGATTAATGGAAGATGATATGCATCTAAATTAGAATACGATATCAGTGTTACGGTATTTCGTCATATACTTTAACGAACTTCCTATTATTTCCCACAACATTTCTTATAACGCAGGTATATTGCTGTTTTCCAAAATGCACGCTACAGCACAGTTTTACTGTGATAGTTTGTCAACGAAATACTTACAACTACATGGATTCGCTTTTGGCCTCTTTCTGTTTTATTAAACCGTACATTAATTTAGTGAATTTACTGTTTTTTCGTCAAAAAGCAAGTGCATATAACTGGAAACTAATCGTTAGCACCTACCAACGCTCATTCATGCTGGTTGTGCTTTTAATCCATTTAATGCTATTTTAATTTGTCCTGCAGCGTTTGCAGAGCAGAGTAATTTCGGACCTACGAAACCTGCGTAGGTTATTACTTAACCTGCGAGCCATGCAAAAACCGACCAGTCATTTACATTTTACGCATGGTTAATGACTCAAGCTCTCTGCGGCAAATGGATAGCCGCACCGCGGGTAGTCAGAACAGAGGTGCTTCGGAAACAGCGTTGCTAGTAATGGCTGTTTTCGTGCAACTATGAAGAACCTTAGCAGTTGACAGAGAGCGTCACATTACTTGAAGACTGGCAGCGCGCAAATAAATTCTAACACGCATCCATATTTCCTTAGCGCTTTCAAACGCTGCCGCATCATTAATATCACAGCTGCTGGTTAACAAGCATCTATTCACCTATTGGTTCCTAATTAGCCAGCACCGACTGATTAACCGAATATTTGAAAATTTAATTTTTGTCCAAAACTAATATGTTTAGTAACGAAAGCGACGTTTAGTGTAACCAATGGGACCAGTGTACTGGCTACGCTAGATCCGCCGACTCTTTATCTTCGGGGTGATATCCTAATCAAGTGCTGCAGAATCGGCGGCGGCCATTTGTTTCTCTGTCAGTTCAACACGTGCGCAGTCGACAGTAAGGCCGAGTGTTTGTCGCTGCCCAGCGAAGAACTGGACTTCCCGGCATCAGGTGGGTCATCGTCCACTGGACTCGTTGGCGGATGTTAGGTTCGCTCCTTCAAGTTGGTTCTTATTTACAGACAGGCTGCGCGTTGACTTCCATTTCCTTCAATTAGCCTCGTCTGCAATTCTGCGTCAAGCGTCAGACACGGTAGTGGTGCGTTTGCAACAACAGATGACACAATTAGTCGACGATGATGATGATCCGTATGACTCATTCAACAACCCGGCTGAGGATTACATTAGGTGTAGTAAGTGCTTCTTCTGTTTTCTTCTAATTATAGCCTCCCGAAAAAGTAACGCACACGCGTCGTAATCCCAAGAGACAGATGCGAAATACCGCCACTGCCGCCGCCGCTGCCGCCTTCTCAACAGCGCACCCACAGACAGCTCCCATTGGCACTGGCATTGTGCAAATTCTGCAGATCTCCATTTGTCCTATCTTCTGTAACCGTGCTGCGAGGTCGTCAGAGGACCGGAATTTCGGTCATGGGCATCGCTGCCAGCAAACACCGTCGAAGTAAGAACACGATTTGATAATGGTCGACCGTTGGTAGTATCGTGAAAGACGACTGAACCGTAAGCTTGACTGCAGACGATTCGGATGGCGGTTACAAGAGCACAGACGAGATGAGTAGCACCGCAGTGGCCACTACGATCGGCCGCCGTAGAGCATACACCTCGCGAGCCGCACTGCGGTATGTGACGTGACTGAGCAGAGGGAACGCGCAAAGAAGAGTCACTGTTTCGCTGCGCTTGCCTCCTGTTCCATAACTACCGCCGTCACTGCCACTGCCACTGCCACCGCCACCGCCATCGCCACCGAGGCTGCCGTCGCCGCCGTCTCCATCACCACCAACACCACTGCCAGCTTTTCCTCACTGAGGTAGCCAACTCGGTTGCTCGATTATTTGCACTGGCCTGAGCTGTCTGGCCTGCGCACTCCAACAGATTAGTAGCGATGCGAAACTGCACGAAACTTGGTTCATGGAGAGTCGTTGCTCTCCGACGCTTGCACCAGTCAGAACTTCAGCTCGAGAGTGAGACTCTTGTGATCGACATGTTCCTAGTTTTATGGATACGATTAATAGTTTTTCGTGTGACGGCGCCGGCCAGCGAGAATGAGTGTTAGAGTGTGGATAACGACCCAGTGAGTCGTCGTGTGATCGCGTAGCCACAGCCAAGACCAAGTGTTTTACACACTCACGTACACACACAACCATCTGTCCATCCGCATCTGTCATCCCGACTGTTCGTCTCCTGGTTGGCCTTTGGTCGCCACGTTGTTCGAGTTTGATCCGCACAGCCGTTGACATGCAGAGGCGACAGTTTCGCGACGTGTACTGCTGTAAGTGGAACCGTTTCCTTTTACTACCTTGCTACATGCTGATCTTAGTCCGAGGCTTCGAGGTGTGCTGCGTCGTCGCCACATCTGTCTGCTTATTTTCGCTGCACTTTGCCTCCCATAACCGCCTCTGAAAATCTCCTCAATCGCTATTTGGTCAGTTTCAAATCAATCCCTTATGACGAATTTGTGTATAAAGCACTGATACCGACTAGTCTGACGGTATCTCACAAATCAGCATGAACATAGATTAGTCTTTATCCTTATTCTGACTTGTTGGTCT